TGAGTCGGACCCCGCGGAATGTAACGCGAAGACATTTTCGAGAAAGTTGCCCGGAAGAGTTCTGCCCTCCCCGCGCGGGCGCGCGGGCGCGCGATCGGTTTACGATTCTTGATTTCGGGTAATTAAGAGCTGCAGCTCGTTCCTCGGGAAGTTCGGAATTCTTCTCGCCGCTATGATTTAATTGAATTTAGCCGGAGCATCGCTTGTGCGATTTTGTAGTACGATTTCATCGGTGTATTAGACTGCGGGTTATTTTCTATCTTGCTGGTGAATAAGTCTTAGTAGACTGTACATACAGAAGTTTCAGTTGAAGATATATTGTAGTATAAATTTGATTTAGTATAGAAATAAAGAAAAATCAATTGAAGACGTAAAGAAACTTTTCGAAGAAAGTCATTGGAATGTACGATTGTCGAACGATTCAAGGGACCTTGGAGCAGAAAAATTTTTAAAGGAATCGTGTAATGAGTGCAGGACCCTCGAAGGACATCGTCGAGATTTATTTGAAGGGGGATCGGGAGGAAAGGAATCAGTAGAGGTAAATACGTGTCGTGAAAGTCCAGGATAAGAAGCAATCGAATTGAATAGTGGAACTCGTGGAATCCGCAATCCGTCGCGAAGTGAATGGCGAACGCCTAAGGGTTCTATAGTAGAGTATACCGCCGCCTATTTCTCCCTTCGGCGACCTAACCTAACCTAGTCGGAACCTCAGATTAAAGCGGTAATCGCTGAATCGGCGAAAGACATCGGGGACGAAGGTGAAAAGGAAGGGAGCCTGTGAACCTTACGAGGTTCTTCATATCACTGACACTTGCCGAAGACAAAGTTAAGAAAGGCTGCAACGATTGGGGATTATTCGCGGCGAGCGCATCTCTTCGCGACTCCTCCTTGTTTTTTCTTTCTTTGACATGACCACTCAAATGTTCTTTGCGACTACACTATGATAAAGTTGAGTTTCTTGTGTAATCTTTAAAGTTTATTTGAAAACAGTGGTTTTTAGCAGATCATTTCTTTTAGTATTCTTTTACAGCAATAATCATTTAACTTGATTACATTCTCAAAGATTGAACGTATACCATAGAAATGATTTTAACTCCCAATTTGCTAGTACTCTGCGAAAACCTTGATTTACTCGCACACCTTCTTTCGATCTCAAACTTTGTTTGATTGTAGATCATTCGTTTGCTCTTTGTCCTCTATATTCCCCCTTTCTTTGAAACCACTCAAATAAAAATGCAACTATGCCACACTTTCTCATGCACCTACTTTTCAAAACGTCACTCCCGAAATAGAAGATTTCTCTCTTGCGATTCCCTCAATGCACGAGTAAGCTACTCTAAAAACACCGAGCACGACAGAATAGAATTCAACAGAGAATGCAGATTTAAGAAGAATCAGGTAGTGTACAAAACGTAAACTCTATCGCAGTAACAGCGATACTTAACAAGATTTTCGCTCTTATTCTTACGCCTTATATTTATTCGCTCTTTCTCTCTCTCTTTCTCTCTCTCTCTCTCTCTCTCACACACGCCACGGGCTTCCGGAAGTCATATTGACGATAATTTCCCAGAAAACCCGAAAAGCCACAGCCTGGATAATTCGAGCACTGTTTTTCTATCATTTGACTTCCACCTTCTTCACGTCTTGACATTCTCTACTCAATGTTCCAATTTCTCTATAAAATTTCTTTCTCCCGATCGCACAATAACAAAACTATATCCTACACCACCAAGAATATCAACACAATTACAGATCAGAGAAAACCAACAAGACCCACGGGTAAACTGGCTGATATTCCGTTCGACGGCCCGGTGAATATCAGTCTAACAAAGTGCCGAAATCGGCTCGAGGGTGCACGCGAAGGGGTAGAAAATATCGCAGCGTTATCGGACGGGAGAAGCCTCGGTGGTCCGTAAGTCCGTGGCTCGCGATCGTCGATGGAAAAGGCAGCAATAACAGGATGTTTCGATACACAATGAATATCGTGTAAATAAATATAACGCTGAGGGGGAAGAAAGCGGAGCGCAAAAGCGGGGCCGCTAGTCACGGGAAGAGCCTCGCTGGTACGCGGAGTAAGTGCAATAATACCAGATTATTTGCATCGCAAAGCCGTGCGTATGGGTAAACACAATATTCGCTCTCTGCTCGGCTCTGTGAACCGATAGTGCGCTCAGGTAGATACGCATCCGTCTATACCACTCCATTTCTCCCTCTCTCTTGCCCTGCCTCCCTCTCTCTGTTCCTCTCTCCCAGTACCACTGTCTTTCTCGCGCGAATAGCATCCTCTCTTTCGATCCACTCTTCATCTGCCATCCCTGTTGCTCCGTTTTATTGTATTCCGTCTATCATTATACTGCGCTCTCCTTCTCCCTTGTTCAGTTTTGCATCCCCTATCTCTTCGTCCCTCCACCCGTCTTGCTCTCACTTTCTACCTTTCTCTTTCCCGTTCCCTCCGGCCCGCTCTCCGTTCCTCTTTCCCCGTAGGATAGATATTCTCTCTCACTCTATGTACCGCCACGGCGTAATACAGATTCTATTTGAGCTGCCTGAGGGAAGTTAACTCGTGATGCGTGCAGCCCGGCTCGCTCTGTTGGCGATACCACGGATCCCATCGTTCTCCATTTCGAAGCTGAAAATCCAAGGACCCGGAGACTGGCGGACTCGTTTCCGCGCGCTGACACACCGCAACGGAAAACGGGAATTCTGTGTCGTCTCCTATGGCTCCTCGGCTGGATCGCGGGCGACACGTGCGTGTGCACGCGCCGTTTGCACGCGGAAAACAGAATTGCACTCGAGGAGTTGCGTGGAATCGAATGTGTTTGGTTTTGTAGGTAAGGTTTTAACGTTTGCAGGTTCGGGTTGTATCGAAGACTCGTGGTTTCAGTTGATGCTAGAAACGCCGAGCGTTTGGTAGGACTGACGTGTAATGCGAGTAAAATTGTGACAAGATTTTTGTCGATTTCTTTGGATGTTCATTGGAATGTTCACAGGAAACTATTTATTTTGAAATTCGTGTTGGATATTTAATATTTGTATAATATCAGCAATTGAAAAATGAGAATAATAGTTAGTTTTACTGGTACGTTGTTCTAGTATTAAACGTAGTTTTATATTTTAGAATATTTTAGTAAACTCCTTTATTACAGACATTTCTTATGTTTCTTATATGTCTGTTGATTCTGAGTCACTTTATAAGAGTATTTGTAATCAGAGTTTTAATTTTGACACGACGAATGTTGAGATCATAATTTTCCTGTTTAAATTTTGAACGCTATTTTTAGTTAGGATTATTGTCTTTCGATGACAGGATAGTGTTAAATGTTACACTTGAACTTTTCTCCATTTTTAAGGTAGCATGACTGACAGTGTGAATTGGTCATAATGATTTATATTCGAATGTCGTTTTAAAATAAGTTTATCTTCTATTTTAGGTTGATTCGATATAATGAGATAAAAGGTTTAAAAAGTATGTGATTTATATGCAAAGACAATAATCAAATATTAACTCTTGTATATTTCAGTTTTCCATTTTCGTTTCGCTTTTTTCAGTACAGAGAAAGAGAGGGTGAGAGAGAGAGGGAGAGAGAGACAAAGACAGAGAGAGTACGGCCGGAAGTGGAGTGCGGTTGTTACCGAGGGAGAGCGGATTATTGATCTTTGCGGTTGCGCGCAGGATCTGGTAATTATAGTAAGGAGATTTGAGACAATTGATGATAAGGACTATTGATTTAAACACAAAAGATTGTATGTTTAGCGAGTTACGATTGAAATGTTTTCGGAATTTCATATTTTCGAGCTTAATACATTGACCATATATTCTCCATTCTAGGTTTCACTCGGTCGACTCGACTTTTACGCAATTCCATAAACATTTAAGACTGAATATTTACTAACACTTCGCAATATTTAACTCCTAACAGTTTGTCCAACGCGATTAGAAATAATCATCCATTATATCCTCAGCACTATGCTCAAATGGCATAGCCACGAAAAATGAATTTCGCTCGCAACTTCGATCCAACGGAATAACGCGAATCACTGCAAATTAAGATCCACAGCGACTTCATTGCGCCGTGTCCTCCATTAAACACAGAGAATCCGAGACGAAGGGATAAAACACCGACGACGATCACAAGAACGTGAAAAATTTACGGTGCCGGGCTTACTTCGCCGAAGAATCGGCGAAGTAATTCGAAGTTCGCGAAGTCTTAAAGGGTGCGTATCAAAAGAAAGAAAGTTTGCAAGGAACAGGGTTTAATAATGGGAGAAGTAATCTCGACCAGGCATTCAACGCTGTAAAATATACGCCGCGCTGTAATTTAAAAACTTCGAATCCCTATTACGTCAATACGCACCTTTAAGCTTACAACGCTTCGAAGCTTCACGAAATATATCATTCCAATTATCTACTAATGCTCAAAGATCATCATCAACGACAGACTACACCGATTACCTTTCCTAATTCTTCAGCATCCAACAATTTCCCTTGAGCATCTAATAAGCTTCACGTGAAATTGTGTGGTGCCAACTATCGCCGAAATTCCGTTCTACGGGGGGCACAAAAACATCCCCATTCCCGGATAGAAACGACAACAATCTCTCGAACGAAAATCCATAGACCGGCGTGCATTCGAGAACCGTAGTATCGATATGGCCTCGGTTCATACGTTCTATTAGTATGTAACGCCTGGTTCCCTTTACCGCGCCGCTCAAAGCAAAGCAGCCCCCGGAGTGTTACAATTTCGCCCTCCCTTGCCCCACGGTCCGCCTCGAAAGTCCCTTTATCTATCCCGCTATTTTCCTAACTCCGACGTCCCCTCCGGGGGTTTCTCCTCGTTGGTGGTGACGACAACGATTCCTCTTTTCCCTGAAGGAGGATGGAGGGAGCCGTGGATACCCGTTCCCGGATGGTGTGGAGGGGCGCGCGCAACCCCCCTCGGCCATCCCTTCGGGTAGGGGTTGAAATGCCCGCCCATTGGTCCGCCCATGTAGGACCAAAGCAGTCACTTCGAATCAATTCGACCCACGATTTCGCCTCGTAGACGGTCCTCCACGGTGCTGGCACACTCGCAATCGTGCCTCATAAGCTTCGACCGCATTTCGTACACCTAACCTCGGCGCACCGCTCGCTCGCTCGCTCGCTCGCCGGGGGATCAAAGTTGACGCGATCGAAACATCAGTTCACGCGGCGATGTAAACCTGGGAACCACGTAGCCGATTATTCGACCAGCTTGTGCTTCGCAGTGTCTCTTCGCGAAGAGCTAACTGAAGAAGGAAAACAAAGAGAAGAAGACACAATTCTATTTGAAGACGATTGAGGATCAAACTACCCGACGATTGGTTGCCGATAGGATGATCGAGTGTAACCCGCGAGCATGACAGAGAATAGTTATGAGGATCCCGAAAGATGACAAGCGACGATAGAGCCGCAGAGTGCGTCGGTTCGAGTGATCGCGGCCGTCATCCTTGAGACAGCGTCGTTGCTCTGCCTGCGGGCGGACGACAGAGTACACCGGCGTAGAAAAATCCGGCCGTTATCGTTGTGGAAACAAACTATTAGCGTAAGATAGCATTCGTACGGAGCTGGTGTGTGACAGTTGCTCCGGGAAATATGTCGGAGTTGGAGCGTTCGTGATACATTCCGTTCGGTGTCTCAACGATCAACTCTGCCAGCGTCGAGCGGAAATCACCTCCATTCTCGCGATCTGACGGACTACTCGATACCGAGGACGAGCCGAAGGGACACGTGGCGGGTAACACCGGCATCCGGGGCTCGTCAGAACCGTGCGCGAGTAACCGAATGATGAGATCTAGAGGTGATCGCAGATCGGTCCCCGATGAACGCGAACATTAGCCTGCAACTCCTGTCCCGCGAGCCTGCCCATGAAGCGATCACGATGGAGCCGCGTGGGATGATGATGTCGAACCTATCGTGCGACGGCTGCGCGGACAGCGACCGGGACTCCGACAGCAGCAGCATGATCGTGGACCCGGTGAGTCTCGACAAGAACGATTTGTCACCGTCCCAGTCGTCGTCGAGCCCGATAATCCCGAGTTCCCCGGTGCCGGCCACGACCTCCTCGAGGAACCGCGGCGGCAGCCGCAGCAAAAAGAACTACAGCATGATGTCCGCGAACGGGCAGCAGAAGAACAGCTCGCCTAGTCAGGCGGCTACCTACGGGAACGACAAGATGTCGTCGTCCGCGATCAAACCCCCTTACTCGTACATAGCGTTGATCACAATGGCGATCCTCCAGTCGCCCCACAAAAAGCTCACCCTGAGCGGCATCTGCGAGTTCATCATGTCCCGGTTCCCGTATTACCACGACAAGTTCCCGGCATGGCAGAACTCCATCAGACACAACCTCTCCTTGAATGATTGCTTCATCAAGATACCCCGCGAGCCGGGCAATCCCGGAAAAGGGAACTACTGGACGCTAGACCCTCTAGCCGAGGACATGTTCGACAACGGTAGCTTCCTGCGTCGCAGGAAGAGGTACAAGAGGCCTCCGCCGCATTACGTCCTCCGCGACAGGGCTATCATGGCTACTTTCGCTATCTGCGGCGATAGAGGACCTTGTCCCGGCGGCGGCGGCAGTCATCCGGGCGCGCTGACTTATCCCAGCGCAGCGTACCTGTCCCCGCCACCTGGACTGCCTCTGCTCGACTTCTCTCCTTCGACTCTGGAGGCCTTGAAGCTCGGAGGATTCCTGGAGCCACCGCCTCCGCTGTACAAACCGGTGCCCATCACCGCGCCACCCATCAGGCAGATGGACCCTGCGCCAGCGAGGACGCCGACGGCGATGCAGACGAGTCACCCACCCGTCGACAAGAAGAGGAACTTCAGCATCGACGCTCTGATCGGGAAGCAAGCCGCGAACGATCAGAACTGCGGCGGTCTGCTGGATCTCAGCCCGACGGAGCACAGGGAGATCAGGAGTCAGGCGTCCGCGTTCTCGCCTCTGGTTTAGAGGACCCAAGGGTAGGAGATTTTCGAGTTTTGGTTCTGGCGATCGAGATTCAGTCTTCTGTGTCGAGAACTATTTTCCCATGCTCTGGGAACCCGGCTCGAGGACTGCGGATGACGTTTAAGGGCTGCGATCTTGGTAGACGATTGCTTGGCTGCTGGGTCCAAGGATTTTGATCTCTTTCGACTCCGGAGAAATTGCATCGGGAGATACTCGATCGAAACGCTCGATTTTCGTTGATGTCGAGGAACCGTACAACGTGAAAGTATATAAGAATTTGAGGAGGATTCTGGGACTGAGATTGATTGGGAGATCGGGACTCGATTGCCAGTTTCCTTGCCTCGAACGATTTCCGCGGTTTGTCCGTGATCGGACTCGGATATCTGATTATGCGTTTCAACGCCACGAGGATCGGAGACGAGTCCAGAAACCAGTGAAGAAAGTGAAACCGATCCTGCAGGTATCGAGCGAAATATTAGGCGAACAAGGACTCGCCGCGAAGTAAATGATTACCGACACGTACGTTTTGTGTATAAAGACGCGGATAGATTTGAATAATTGTAAAAAAAAGAGCAAGTGTAGTGCAATAGTGTAGTGGTTTGTTTAATATACAGAGAACACCCCCTCCTGTTCGTACCGGCCGATCCCTAGTGATTACCTGCGCCCCTTGGGAGCCAGATTTTCTGTTCTCGTTTCTCGTTCTTCGTTTTTCGAGTTCGGTGGTTCTCGGTCTCCTGAACGGAGAAGTAGATTCATCGCGTCGGCTCGTTTGTAAACGATCGATTAATATCGGCACTGTAAATACACACCCCCGGACAAACCTTTGCTCAGCTTTCTATTGTTTACGTGAGAGTGAGTAAGAGAGAGAGAGAGAGAGAGAGAGAATGTTGAAGCGCTAGAGAGAGAAAGAGAGAATGAAAGGAATAGAGAGAAAGGGGAGGTCAATTCTTTTCGAAGGATTTAATGTAAAACTCGAGTCGTCGTGTGTTTTTGGTCAAATAGACGTTTATAGTGCACATAGGGGACGAGTTGAAGGAACATTTGTTATTTCGATCGATCGATGTTTTCGTACCTGTTTCATATGTAACGTGTCGAA